TTCATGTTTCCATAACAAGCGGGGCGGAGGAATATAATTATAAGCTGATTTAAATTTGTAAAATCTAAAACAGAAATTTTTCAAAAATTCCAACTTTCAAAAATATTTTTGAAAGTTGGAATTTTTGAAAAAAAAAAATTTTTCTTCGAAAAAATTCCAACTTTTTTCAAAAATTTCAACTTTCTATTTTTCATAGACCCCAGTTAAAGCCCCCGTATGAAAACGGTCTTTAACAAACACACATACACATACGCATTTACAGCAACAACAAGCGTTTTGTACAGCCGGTTTTAGCACAAAACTTATAAAAATCAAAAAACAAAAAAAAAATTAAGATCTAAAAGAGTACCTGTACTGTTCACGATAAAATTCATGTCTTTGACAATCCCGAGTTAACAGTGACATGCAAGCGGGGCATGACAATACGGCGTCTGTTTGGGCGTCTTCATCGTCCTCATTCTTCGCTCCTGGGCTTTCTGAATCCTGCGATGTGCTACTGGGCCGAGCTTTCACAATTTTTAATTGCTCACGATGTTGTCGCACCTAAAAAACTTTAAGCAGACATTACTCTTTCACTTCTGTTCAATGGAAATTTCAGCCACTATTTTAATTTTAGATGGTTTATGAAAGATTGCCAGAAGATAAAAAGGGGAATATGAATAAAATAAAATTAAAATTTGAATGGGAATGTTTCGGTCCATCAAGTCACATACATTCCTATTCAGTGCATGTTTACTGGTAATATCAATGGGGAACTCCAACGCTACTGAGACACTTTGCGCATGGTACACTTTGCACAATACAGCCTCCAGTTTTTTGCATGTCATCTACACGAAGTACTGGTATCTGTAACAAAAATCATTCCAATCCCCATTCTCTCGTTCTTGCAGATATTGCTGCTTGCATACGGTGTTATCTAGGAGTTAGGGATGAAACACAGGCATGCTTCCTTTTACATACATCTCTGTACATGACTCTTCTACATGACATACGGCTTACGTATATATTTGCAACACCACAATCTTCTTTACCTTATTTTAATTTTCTCTCCTTTTTACATACCTATTTTCTGGCTTTAACCGGAGTGTTTTTTATTTTTTTATATTTTCCAACTCCGATTTCATTGCTGCTGATCGCAACTCTCAGGACCGACTGTTCATAATCTTTATTTTAATATGACGCTGATAGAGCTTGTACTGCCCGTACTAGTTTTCCTATTTTGCCCTTGACCGTATTGACCGTTGTTTATAGTCTTGTCCACAGGCTCTTTACAGCTTTTTCTTGATATGATGCTCCTAGAGCCGTTACGGCCCGTACCGCCCTTCCTAGTTACCTACGAAGGAAGTAACAACATGCACTATACGGGATACACGCTGCTCAAAAAAAAAGCAAAATTTAGAGATATTTACCCAGCGTTCATTGTCGTCGTCCTCGTCCGAATCGTAGAAGTCAGCAG